CAAACAAGATATGTTTTTTTAATTTCAAACTAAAAGCAATGGACGACGGATAAATAAGTACTAGCCACATCCTAATGAGAGAGCTTTTTGCTATTGGAATCACAATACGATTCTTGTTAGTCATTGACCTGACAACGAATGGTAAATACCGCGTGTTCATAGTAATGTAAAAGAAGGTGCCACGATGGAAAACCAAAATGACTATTGATAAAAAGCGTTGCTACAGCGTGAAGAATTTTCTCGAAAAACTATTCTAGTTCGTGAATTATTATCAAGTTCCCGTAGAAATATCAAGCGCATTACCTAATCATATTCTTCTTATCAGTAGGAACGAGCATTCCATTGAGATTTTCTTGCAGACCTTGAAAATTAAATTTACTAAATATGATACGTTTGCCCAGTTATGATAAAATAATCCTAATGTCAATAAAACTTAGTGACCAAGTGTTAGCTGTTAGTCATAGTCCTGAGTTAATATTAACTGATCATCATGCTGTAATAATTTCCCAAGTCAAACAATGACAAAGAATGCCTTAATAAAAAACAAACTCACGAACTCTTTCAAACTGTAATGATGATCAAACTCTAGAACCCATCACTGTCCCAGATGATTAATTTCAATATAACATGTACTAGTTTAGAACATTTACAGCTGAATAATAACACTCATCTTTATTTATTATATTGTCAAACCGCTCTGAATTTGTGAACTGATGCGATAACTTTTTCTGGGCAACAACTTGAAACTAAACAAGTCAGAGACATAAAAAGCATCTGGTGCTCAAGCCCAAGATGCTATGACCGGGAAATGAGCTAAAACTACTGAACTGGACATGCGTGCACATTTGGAGCTAAGGGATTTTGTCAATTTAATGCTCAAATAATTTTCTTACTAGTCAACTGTCCCACTTATTGTCATAAATTACACGAGTTGCTGTTCAATACGAGGTGTAGGCTAGAAAATTTAATGGTCAGATGTTGTATCAATCAATTGAGACGATTTTTGAATATGCAAAACGTTGTTATCTATTGTGGCGTCCAGTAAACAGTGCACGTGTTGCATGGCCAGGTTAGCTTCCACATGACTTTGGGGGGAGTATCGTATATTAAGTAGACTTGACGGTATCTGATTTAGATGCATGAATATGTGGGAAGGAGATGACGTACATGCGTGCGCAAATGACAGACTTACGACAGTTTTTCTAATCGTAAGGATATATTTGTCTAAATCATTTCATCCTAATTCATATTCAAAGTTATCAATATCGTGTTTGACGTTTCATAGTTTACTGCTTCCACATGTCTAGTGTAGGACAATAGCTGAATAAAAGAATTGTATTGGTTACGGAATCCACTCTCACAACAATGATGGGAGACATGCACAAGATGTTAGAGAGAATATGTAATATATTGTCCATGTTGGAACTCGTCATACAATTTATCCATCAGAGCAAACGCACATACATCACGGATACCTCCATGACACACAGATAAACACACATACAACACACATACAACACACATACAACACATAAACAACACATAAACAACACATACAACACATACAACACATACAACACATACAACACATACAACACATATACAATATATACAACAACAACAACAACAATAACAACAACACATACACCCACACACAATACACACACGATGAACCCACGACCCACCCACTTCCACGCCACATTTGCAGGCTCCCGCACCTGCATCTCCTTGTCACCAAGTTGTACACCAATAAATTCGTCTTTACTCGATGATGGCCCCGCAGCCACATGTCAATGGCAGATTTTATATATAGATAGCGTAAAGCGCAGGTTGCAGTGTTTAGTCACACGAAGGTGTACGAGATGCGAGCATTTTTTACGTGGGATAAAGAATACCAAATGCAGGACACAGTGTCCATTCCGCAGGTACTCTGGCCTTTCTATTCTGCACGATACGCCATAAATACTAAACTCCGGATTAAATACTACTGTCATTTAAGTCACTGATCGTCCTGTCATTCTCTTTATCTTGTCAAATCTATTGCATTTAGTTTAATGTGCAGATGCAAGTAAGTGTGAGTCGATGATGATTAAGCAAGAAAATGATAGTGAAAAAATGTATCATGGTGTTGCGTAACTGATAATTACATAATATCTATATTGTGTTGACGAGTGTGAAGTGTATGTATGTGAGGTATATGTGTGAGGTGTGTGAGGTGTGTGATGTATGTGTGAGGTGTATGTGTGTCATATGTACTGTATTATGTATTATGTATTATGTATATGTATTGTATGTGTGTGTATATGTGTTGCTATTTCGGTTATACCACTTATTATTATCCTCACAATGTCATTCACATCACAAGACTTGTTCACTCTCACTCACTCTCACTCTCACTCTCCCCCTTCACCCTTTCCATCAATCTTCTTTTTTGGTATACGTCCCCTATTGTCCTATTATCTGTCATTGTCTCCTGCATAAGCTATTATATATCATATATATAATATGTTAGCTAACAGTATTACAAGTATTAGTATGTGTATATTTAGTTATTATATAAGCTTTTGCAACAATCTTTCACAATCTTGTTTCTCGTGGATAATCGATAACATGTGGCAATTAAAGGGCATATCGATCGACAGCGATAATGTATAAATAATATGCATGTACTTTACAATAAGTATGATACTATATATTTATGGTTACCACAGTAAGCATACATATGATAGCACATATCAAATGTTATTCTCTTTTTTTTTTTTTTTTCTTCTTTTTTTTCTTTTTTCTTTTTTTTCACCCTTGCTCACACATCGGTCTGTGTTTTTATCGTTATTACTCAGTTTGACACATATTCCATGACAACACTTCCTACTCTTCCCTCTGTGCTACGTTGCAAGTTTCACCGTGTTCCGTTATTGATGCTTCATCTCATGAAAACGAACAGAATTGGCAAGATTCCCACACACTGGGATTTCAATTATGGATTCCATTTATGATTGTGCTCAAATATTTTGGGCTGTTGTTTGTGATGATGATACGAACAAGCCAATATAAGGAATAAGGTGACATGCTTGATTACTGATATTTTGATGATGGTGATTGTGTGATGATTGATATTGATATTTGGATAAACACTGACACAACACATACATACCATAGAACTATACATTCTAGATGTATACGTTCTAGATGTATTACACACAACACAACCCGTACGCATCACCATACACCATTATACACAGCAATTCATTATATTCATTATATTTACTATTATTGCAGTATTGATGGTGCAGTATTGATGGTTATCAGTATCAGTATACTTACACTTACATTTGCACTTACACTTACACTTACACTTGCATTTGCACTTACACTTGCACTTGCACTTGCACTTACAGTACTAACCATACATCGCATAACATAATATTGTATTCCGGATCAGGCGGAGGACACAAACAAACGCTTCAATTAGCACATGCTTGTCGCTTAGCCCTTCTCTTTGACATTGGGAACTCCATTGCCCCCTGACCTTTGTTTTGCTGTTGAATGCTGCGGGACAAACAAATAGTTGAATAATGGAATTGTAAGGTTCTTTAAAGGCTACACGACTGCACAACGGAGCGCCTTTCCCAAAAATCTCATGAAAAAAGAGCATGAACTTGTACACTTTAACTTAAAATAAATTTTATATGTTACAAACTGATGATTCATTGATAACATTAATAATATCAATTTATACAATTGTGATGGTGAATTACATAATAGAACGCATATAAATAATATCAAATACGTTGATTATACAACTGTCCTTCATGTATGCTCACATATTATCGGATCGGTGTTTGACAATATTTCATATTACGCATTGTAATCTGATCACCAGGCAAAAGTATATTGGCTTATAGTATATTAGTATTCCTACTTTATACTGACTCGTATATTTATTAATTTATTTGACGTTTTAACCGTATCTACTTAATTAAATTCATTGTCCCTCGCGTGATTGCGTTTAAATATAATCTTTGATGATCACACGTACCTGTATTTCGTTCTCGACTTGGACTCTTGTCGACTTTGTTATCAGACTGACAAAACGAACTAGGGTTGCAATGTATATGTCCATAGAGTAATACATCTTTTCTACCCCGTTGCCATTAGTGATATATACGTACATACACACACCCATCATCCCATCCTATTGAACTGCTTTTCTCTACTTGTTTCGCTTTTCATCCGTGTGGTCTATTTCAAAGGTGCATACACTTGTGACTATTATTAATTCTATCATAGCATTGTTCGATTGACGTAAGAAACCGAGTTCTGGCTACAAAAAAAGGGGGGGAGGAAGCGACAAAGATAGGGAAAAAGAGTGAAAGACGGATAACGAGTAAAGACGGCTAGAGGATAGAAGGGGGAGGGGGGCGTAGGGTATATATAATACATAAACAAACTGTTAGTCAGTTCAGTTAGTCGGTCGGTCGGTCGGTCAGTCAGTCAGTCAGTCAGTCAGTCCAAACAGACAGTTGGGCAGGCCAGCAGGTAGCCAGACAGGGCGGACAAAAACTATACCTACCATTTACAAATAAACACTTAATATTAAGTAGACGACCATTGATCAGAGCAATCTTATCATATCAATCAATACTTAATCCCATACAACCTAATCAATAATATAAGAGATGCATATGATTTATTTTTATCACTACGCATTTACACTTATATACCCTCCTTTTCTCTCTCTTCCTTTTTAAATCTCCCTAACCCTTACCCCAGACAAATCGGATATAACGACAAACTCGGCCCCCCGTCGACTCATCCAAACGCACTCACTCACTGGATACGCGCCAACATACCATTGTGAGATCTTGATCGAACTCTCTTTCCTCTCACCTTACATATCATCTATACCCTGATCACGTGTTGTCGAACACATCATTCTTTTTTTCTTCTTCCCTCCAACGGCTCCAACGGCCCCCCTACCCCCATATCTACATCTAACAATGCCTACACGACCAACAACAGCATCAGACAACTTGACGATACACACAAGTAATCACCATTCTAGCTTACCGGATTGTATCTCACAGGGCGGAACTATAGCTGAATGGCAACCAAACACTTATAATCAGAACTCGCATGTCAGAGTCCACATGCCCGATGGCAGCGACAAGTTCTTCCCAAACGTCAAACGGGATCATCTACAAATGTATCTCAACGCTGGAAAAATGGGTATCCATAGTAGTATGATCGAAATCAGAAGCGAAAGGAGACACGGAGGAGACATTGACCGAGACGGACTCGATGGAAATGATTATTCTTGTTCATCTTCTACTAGTACATCACGTGATATTTATCAGGAATCCGATGACGAGGATGACAGAGATTTTGAGAGCGACGATGACATGGTCATCGAGCACCGGTTTGGACACGGCGAGCAATTACCAAAGAATCAGCCATTATTTTTGAACTTTACTTCCGACCTTGCTACGCAGCATGTTACCAGAAAAAAGACCAAGGATAAGAAGCAGGTTACTTACAGAGTTAATGGAGTCAACATTCTCAACAGGTATGCCGAAAGTGGGATTGAGAGAGAGAGATGGACAAAAGCAACATTAGTGTGGTGTATGGTGTGTGGGTTAGTTAGGTTATATAAAATACGACATTGTTGAAATCGTAATATGCATGGGGGCGGATTATATTTCATATTTAGAACTTGGCCGCTACTTTCCCCATCCCCCATCCCCCATCCCCCAAAAATAATAATTGTTGAAGGATCTTACTTTTTGCATCATTGACTGACTGTGCCCATATTCCTTATTCTTCCTTCCTTTTTTATTATCATTGACATTGTTATCAAATATAGAAATAGTCTGGATATGCAGGTACGTCTGAAGAAAGGGGAGATGCGCCACTTTGTCATTGTTGTTGCTTATTATGTGCATTCTATTGCTCAATGACTATTCTGTTATCCCGATTCACTCCCCCCAACTTTTTTCTCTTTTTTTTCTCTTTTTTTTTTTCTCCCCTACCTCTTCCGCCGCTCTTCTCCGTTTTTTCTCATCTCACTGTTTCCTATTTTCTTATCCCATGTTCCCAAATAGACGGCAATGGAACGTCTCAAACGCAGGAGAGAAAACCATAATAATGTAGAGAGAAAGAGACGAAATAATATCAACAATACAATTTACGAGATTTCCCGACTCATGCCCCTGGCCTATCGCTCCGGGTCGAAGCCTAATAAGGGGAGCATCCTGCGAAGAGCTGTCGAATATATCAAGGTGTGTGTATGTGTGTGTGTGTGTTTATGAGGCTGGGTGGAGATTTAATTGTTTCATCGGATGCTTTTTGCATCTGTCAGCATTTAGATTTGAACCTTAATGGCGTATACGCATATGCCATTCATAAATAATATAATCAGTATGGCTTTTCAGAACAATACTTTTATATACAATATGATTATATCATACCATTATCAATGTATATTTCCTATTATATTATGCTCGAAGCGTGCTTCTTTGTCACTCCATTTTTCAACTATGCTGCGCCTCACCGTCAACGGTACAAATAACGGTAGCTAACAATCAATACCCCCCACCACCTCCCTTCCGTAACACATTTTTGTAGGAACTACAGAACGAAAACGATGCAATTAAAATCGAATTGGGTTCTCTAAAGACATTCAAACCAAGTTCAGCTCTGTCGACTGCAATTCCGACAAGTGTTCCTCCACAGTTGACAGCTTCATCTACGACATCTTCTGCTTCTTCAGGCCAAACACCCGCAATAGGCAGACATCAGACATTATTACAAAGTCACACGCCTCCAGCATGTTCAATATCATCATCATCGCCAAAGTCACATCAACCCGCTATGACATTGCCTTCCATATCGAACACAGACTTGTCCGCTGAGCCAGCAAGTCCGTTGATTCTACCTCCTCCATCCAATCTACTGTCTCTTGATAAGAGGATACCGCTCGACATGAAATCAAATCTAAAGCTGGAATCCCTTTCGCATTCTGTTCCTTCTTCGCCTACTCTCAAGGCGTCTGTTGGGAATGCCAATGGGAGCAAGCCCAGCATCAATCATAATATCAACCATAATGTCAATAGCATCAACCACAATATCAGCCATAACATCCATAACATCAGCCATAACATCAGTCATAACATTAGTCATAACATCAACCACAATATCAGTCATAACATTAGTCATAACATCAACCGCAATATCAGTCATGACATCAACCAACATAATGTCAACCACAACGTGGTTCCACCCGAGAACATAATTCTCCCACCAATAACTACAGAACTTTCCAAAGACTATCAACACTTGCGATCACCAAGTGAATATTGCAACGGAAGCGCAAATGGCGGTGGATGTTTTGACCATAATAATAGTCGAGCGTCTCTACCATTCAAGTTTGGCAGTATATCATATGTGTTACATAGAAATACTGGCCAGCAGATATCGAGCCAGTATTACATGCGATGATATTATACACATGGGGGAAATGTTGATTATAGAAGTCTTTGTTAACGGAGATTTATATAAAGGTGCCTAAAAAGTAAATATGAATTAAGTGTATAAAAAAATTGGTTAAAATTATTCGCCTAATTAATTAGACAAATTTGGAAAAAGCAAACAAAAAACGGGGTTTGGTAGTTTTAAAAAAGGTTATACGTTTATCTTAAAATTTATTATTTCTTTATTGATATATATTATATACATTTTATATTTAGTATCCTTTTTCCTTGTAGCCTTTCCTTTATCCGCTTTCCCCTCTCCCCTCCTCTCCCCTCCCTCCTCCTCCTTACGTCTCTTCCTGTCTGTTGGTTTTTGTACATATTAGCATTTCCTCATAGAGAAGAACAAAAAGATCATTTATTATGATCATAGAGTAGTTAATCAAAAAGCAATAGAAAAAGACATATATTCTATTCGCCTATAATCGTTATTTTAATAATGGCTTTCCTTTTTATTTTTTTGATACATTGCACGACTCCTGGCAGCGCATCATTATCATAATTATGCACAGTTGTAACAAACGTCATTGAATGACATCTGAATAATAATGCCGGTTAATTGAATCTTACCTTTTATTGAGATTCCATTCCCGTGATCAAAATGATTAATAATAATAGCCATTGGTAAGAGTGTGAGATAAATAGATAAGTGGAAAGGTAACGAGATAAAGAGATAGAGTTATCTCTTTGATAGTAAGCAAAAGTCCATTCTTATCAATTCTAACGTCTTAATACTTACGGATCAGTTAAAAAACGGCAGGAGAAATGTGTTTATTGTTTATGCAGCGCCTGTACCATCCTAAAGTAAGATATTTAATGATTGATACGCATATGATCACGAGATTCAATGCATAGTCCTCCATGTTGAATAGAACAAAGAGTAAGAACAAAAGAAAAAAATGCTTGTTGCAGGTTCAATGAATGGGAATAAAACCGCCCCAGTCTGGCAGTAATCCGTCCGTAATCCAATTCCCCCCTCCTCATCATCCCATCGACATTGCTCATTCTCGTATTTCATCCTGCCACATTCTCCCTCCCTCTCCCTCCCTCTTCCTCTCTCTCTCAAAAACAAAGACTTTTTTTTTTTTCCCTCAATGCGAAAAAGCTTTCAAAAACCCTCATTCGCACCCACTCACATCATCGCACTTCCGCCCACATCTCGCTGTTCAATTCACCAACACAGCATTATGCAACTCCCTGCCAACAAACTCGTACAACACATCTCGATTCTTATAGTTAATCGGCTGGCATTTCCCTTCCCCACGGTGCAACTAATTACGCGTGATCTTTTGACATCTGCTGCTGCTTCTTGCATCTAGATTGCTACATCCCAGCCACAAAAAGCTATTTAGTACGTTCGATCGGTCAACAGATGAAAAAACAACACCGTCGCCGGTAATGAGAAGAATCGATAGTGGTTAGTTTGTTAGTTTGTGCAAAAATGATTGGATGAGATCAACATATAATAAAAAATATATACTTACAAGTTCCGTCCTTTTTTTTTTTTTTCGACTGTCAAATAGAGCTCTTTATGTCATTGGCCAGTGGCTTATTTTTGCCATGTCGTACACTGCTTCTTATTGGATAATGACTAAACTCTACATCCTAAACAAGTAGATCACATTATCCACTATCAACTTTCTCAGTGGCGTAGCGAATGGGTGGGAATTAACATTGTTTCATAGTCCATATGTTATGTATTACGTATTATTAGGGCGTCAACTCGTTTGAAGTCAATAACGACGCACCATATACGACTCGGAAACTTGCCATAAAAGTCCTAGCACCGTTTGATTTGCTTACAATTCCTGATTCACTTATTTATTTAAGCTACAAAAAAATTCTTACGCCGTCATTTGATTTTACGGAAACACAAGGCAAATACCCAACCCATTCAAACCAAAAGGAAGACACATCCTTCTGTCGTTCCCTGTCTTGCGTGTGTAAGGCCTAAAATCTTCTACTTGGGCCTATTTATTCCCTCACCTTTTTTCTCAACACTGCCCCAACTCCCCGCCGTCTCTCTTCTTTTTCTTTTATCGTAAAAGAATAAACGAAGAAAAAATAGTGGAAATGGAGGACAATGACGGTAGTCTACTGCATAATCCACACCACCGCAAGTCGTCCTCGTCCATCCACTCTCACCCGTGTGCAACCACTTCTACTACACCAATAGGGGTACATTCGCAATCGGCTCACCTGCCTCCACTCCTTCACCCGGTCGTCCCTTCGCCGGGCGTTCACAGTCTACCAGCTCTTACGCACACTTCGCCAAGTTCAACTTCCACTACAACACATTCTCCCTCGTCTCCGACGGCACAACCAGTATCTCCAACTATGAACACTTCACAACCGGGTTATGCGCTTCAGTCACCACCTATTACGATTGTATTCGATCGGTTATGCAGTGGCTCGTTGGGTGTGAACACGCCAGTACATAGTCCTCATACGGTTGCTATGGATACGACCGAGGATGGAGAAAGACACCTGGAGGAGGGTCAGAGTTCGCAGGAGAGTACACAGGAGCGTACGCAGAAGGAGAACGTCTATGCAGAACAACAAAAGGCGAGGAAACAACCGGAAAGGAGGGGTAGTGGTCCGAGCAAAAACAGAAAGAAGAGGAAACAATATTCGTATAGAACTCCGGATTCTCATCGGGCTCCGGATTCGCCCAATTCTTTGGATAGATACGAGACAGAAGACGAGTTCGGGGAAGGGATGAGCATCGACGATAATCGGTGTGATGTTTGTTTGGTAAGTTGTTTATTTTTATGTGGTCTTTACCCTTTTTTTTTTTCCTTTATTTTCTTTTTCTATTCCTGTTTCCTCTTTTCCTTTTCCTTTTCTTCTTGTTTGTGCAAGATTTTGGAATTTATTGGTGTAAAATTGAAAAAAAAAAAAGTTTGGTTGGTGACAATTACAATGAGGGTAATACGAGGGTGAAAAGTGTGAAACGCATATGACGGTGAAGGAAAGAAAGAAGGTTTTGATACTGGTAATCTCAATTGAAACAACGTGAATAGAATGCCGTTTTTATAAATGTCTAGATTATTTATTATGAGTAATGTAGATTTTTTAACGAAAATGCTAATATATATTATACATGTTGCTAATATGTGTCCATCTCTTGTATTGTTATCCATACATACCCTGTAGGATTGTGACATGAACTCTTCAGTAGATTCTCTTAAAAAAATCTTAATGACATTTCCGGCGATGTCTCCGGCTCGCTTGGACGCTATATTACCGATTCTACTGGATAATGACATAGATCACCCTGATATTTTGCTTCTAATAGAGAATGAGCAGTATCTTAGGGATCTACATAGCAAAAACGGTACAGAACTCTCACGGGGTAACTGTCTATCTATCTGGCATGGTATTCAAGAACACCGACAGAACGCATCAATGCATACACCCAAATCCTTCACATCATCATCATCATACTCTCCTCCACATTTGACGTCTCTTCGCTCAGACATAATACTCACACACCCGCCTAGATCTAAAAAACCTCGAATGGAACGAATGGAATCATCTATGGACAGAGATGACGATAGTTCGTCGGTGTCGAATCTGTCGCTATCATCTCTCGACCATTCGCATGACCATAATCATCACACTCATAATCACGGACACCAGCTCAGACGTCACAACAGTCCAAGCCCGGCACCCACGCCCACGCCAACACCGCCGCCAACGTCATTTCCGACAACTACCAGGCAGAACAGACAAAGAGTAAAAGCACCCAAGTTGAACATGTCCACAATTGAAGAAGTACACACACGGGTGGATACTGTTCTCGCCGAAGTAGCTAGGGAGAATGAGCGTCGACGCCAGATAGCTTCTACGAGGACTACGGGCACGCATCCAACATTAAAGTTTGAGGATTTTGTTGGAGAATTGAAACAAGCGCACAAGATTCCTGTTGCGTTTGGGACGTTGAGAGATATGCGATTTTCGTATATTTTGAAGAAGCTGAATCCGGCAAAATATGAAGAAGTATTGGCGAGCAGATGTGTAAATGTGACAGAGTTTTACAGGAGATGTCAAGAAGTGTGTGAGGAGAACTTTCAGGAGGACGCATTGGAGAGTGCATTACCATGGTTGGAGTTGAAAAGTAAATTGTATTATAAGTAGATACTATAAAAAAAAATTGGGTTCTTTTTCTTTTGTTTTGGGCAGGTAGCAAAAAAAGAAAAAAGGAAAAAAAAGCGATGTGTATTTGGCGTGTGTGTATTTGTTGTGTGTTTAGTGTGTGTGCGTGTACATGAAAATTTCAGGGTATTTGTAGCGATCGAGTTCTATATGTGTTGACATATAAGCGATTCGAGTATCTGGGCAAGAGATTAGTTAGTGAACTAACATTATACTTTTCAAAAGATACCGACGCTTTGTTATTGTTATTATATTATATCATATTTTAACCCTTCTATCTCCGTATTTCATAACGAGATTTAGTATATTTTACCATGATTTTTTTTCCCTCACTTGTTATTCCTTTTGCAAGCGAGGTTTTTTTTTTGGGATATGAATTGAAAAAGCAGACTAACAGATCAATGGACGATACGATTCATTTATCCATAAAACATAAAAATTACCAACGGTAGTCAAGACAAACTTATACCAACGGTACAGTTTGTAAATATATGAAAAAAAAAAGTTGTTCGTATTCTGTGTACTAAACACTCGTACTGCAAAACTGTGGCATTGGATTGATACAATAGGAGTGGAGACGTACCCAATGAATTAAGGACTGCGTAGCGAACGACAGTATATAATGAGACATACAGTGGGGAGACTATAAAACTATTAATGCTCGCACTCTCAACCCGAACTGGACGGACTTTTCGACCCTCGCATTTTACGAATGCTGTGGGGAGTCTGTGCTGTTTGTTACGTGATATTCATTATTACGGTCGGCTGCCCATTGTTATTACATACATATCCCATTTTTATAGTAATATAATCGGCGTAACTGTCACAGTATATTTAATAACACAATATATTCGCAATTGCATGCGTATACTTGTCTCAAATTGACTAGGAGATTTTATAAGCCACAATCGCCCATCAATCTATAGATGCGAATTCAAAGACTATAGTCCTTTTTCTCTCTTTTCGTCTATCGTTATAGGCTTTATACTTTTGTTACTCGTCCACACAGTAGTTCCCTACACTCTCTCCCACACTCAATAAGTTTTTCCCCTATCTTCTTAATATGGAAGACTATGAGAAGATAAGGTGTGTGGGTGTTGAATGAATGTCTACAATACATTGCAGTATGCACCAAAGTCTAAATCTGGAATGATCATATGAGATATACCGATATAGATATGCGGCATGGTGATATACGCCATAACCAAAAGGGAGATGATCACAAAAAATTGTGAAAACTTAAAAAAAAAAAAAAAAAAAAAGATGTACAGTGTACGCGCGATGGGAAAGCATGAAGAGAAGGAAGGTATTTAACTAAAAGAATGGTTGGAGGGTATCTTGTAAACATGATGCATACTTACTTCCCTCGCACTTGATATATATTGTGATTGCACAGGTGGTGAACATGCGGTATATCACGATGCTTGATTGCGTTTCCTCGTGTTTCTGGTACACATTCTGGAGAGCGTTGTGCCTTCTGCTAAAAGCAGGTTAGATGTGAGAGGAGTTGGTACTTGTAGAGAATGAGGCGCATTGAGGGTGAAGAGGGGAAGAAAAAAAAGTCATTTATGATAGTCGTCGTCATACTTGAAGGGAAATCTTGATACATAATGGCGAAATGCAGCTATGTAAACAACTGATGTTTGGCCCTCCCCCAACCCCGTGTAATTCATCACTAAAAGGGGCGTTGCAAAGGGCGTTGTGCAAATCATCTCGTGCTAATAACAGATTAAGATGCCCGATCATTGTGTTTATGAGGGGGGAACCACCAAACTGGAAACGCTTTACGTCGATGGTATTAGGTAAGGACACAGCCAAAGAGGACGGATCATAGTAATGTCAAAATGGCGACGACGATGACGTACCCCGGAGGATAACTCGATTGAGAGGTGTCGTGTTTCTTATGTAAGACTATGATTTAGCTGCACAAGAGTTGTCCTCATCGAAGATCCGGAGATTGTTGGCCGAGGATACGTAGCCTGCAACGTGTTGAGCTTTACCAGCGATACCAGGAAGAGGCGATTTAGAAGAAATCGATCCCAATCATATCGTTTATCTTCTTGTGAGGCTCTTTTTAATGATGTCCGACCCAGCTCTTCTGTATTCATTTCACGTGAAGTTTCTTCGCAAGTGGAACGAGCATCGAACACTCGAACGATACCAACTTTCGCGTAGAGGCCTCAGGCGTAACCTGGCAAAATAGCTTGTGCAGTTCGTAATGAATGCCTTGTGAAAAAACGTAGAATGCTCTGCAGATTAAAAGCAAACACTTTCTGTGAAGAAACGATGGGTGTATGACTCCTGCGATTATACCACCAGTTCGGCATTTGTTGGATAAAGCAAGGATTACAGTATTAGATGATAGTCGATATGTCACGATTCTTTTTGATAGCCCATCTGGATCTCGAGAGGTAAGTTTATTATCATGCTTTTACCTTGTGGGCGTTTGTTATATACACTTTCTATGAGTAAGATATAATAAAATGCCCCATTCTTTTTGCAGATATTATCGACAATCAAGGACGAACAATATGTCAAGTTTGATCAGTCTCCTCTATTTTTACACGATTTAGTAGAGACTTTTCTATTCTAGTGGGCAACTTAACGTACAATATCGTAGAGACGATTGGGTTTGATGGCTACCGCAAATAGTATATGCTTACAAACGCGAGCAGTTCTTTAACGTAATATTAATATAATGTCTGTACACAGAAGCTTTATCAATTATTCCAGTCATGTGAAGCATGTATTTGAGATCCATTAATTTTTATTTTATTTTTTTTTTAAATTCTTCATATACGGATAATTCTATGTATAAATTTTATCGCTTTACTAGATCTCAATGTTGCTGAGAGACGTCATCTTCAAAGTATCGTCGCTGAATTCTACTTGCTCGAATTCGTCCAAGTCCAGGCGAGGGCGCTGTCGAGTGATGACCAACTGCTTTGTGCAAGATGTTCTGGAGGACATCACGCAAGTCCCATTCCCCATACGGATAAGCTGATCTGGCGCTTCAACTTTGGCGGGCCAGCTCCTCGAGTATACGGTAGGGCGGCCAAAGCCGGCGACGTAATTACGTCGATATATCTGGCTGGAATGGCGACAACGGCCTAGTCGCGCCATGTCTAATCGAGAGTAGCTGGTCTACGGGGATGTATAGCGGGCAGGGAGGATCGTAAAGCCGATATATATCAGCTACCGTGTTATTTTAAGAACCTCTTCATAATATATCTTTGTCAGTCGATGTTTCCCATTTTGATAACATTCGAACAAATGGCTATATCCTCCTGGGGTGAGTCCCTTACATCCTGACCCTCTGAATAGTTTCTGATCATCTGGATTGATGAATGCATTATACATTTTTTTGGCAAGTTTTTGAATGGCTTCAAGATTGTATTTGAATGCATACCCTCCAGAATTTACATTTTTATCATTAAATTCTGAAAATAGGAGGTCAGCGCTGCTCTTTCAGACTGAATGGCCTTAATCTGCAGCTTAAGATTCTCTTCATTAATAATTACATTTGTAATATTTTGTTTAACAAATTGTACACCAAAATATTCTAATGCCTCATCAAATGCAAAGTAATGACCCTCCTGTGTGAGATTTACAGAGCAGACATGTTGTAAAAGCATCTTGAGTTGAGGAGATTTAGCAAGTTCAGCAAGAAAGTGAACTGTTGATTTGCTATAATTGTTCTGCCCACTATTTGGGAATAAAGGAGCAAATGCTGCTAAATTGGAGAATTGCATATTAAAATTTCCTGTACGTATTCCCATTTTATGCCCTTTCCAAATGCTAGCTCATCTATAATACAGGTACCATGTTTTGACTAGAGCATTGTTAGAGTCCGTTATGTAGTCCTCTTTGAGTTCCATATCGATATGTTAATGGCTAGTCGCGCCATGTCTAATCGAGAGTAGCTGGTCTACGGGGTTGTATAGCGGGCAGGGAGGATCGTAAAGCCAATATATATCAGCTGCCGTGATGAGACAGATGTAGTCAAGTACGGAAAACATCATTAAATAGAATCGAATGTTAATGGCGACAACGGCCTAGTCGCGCCAAGTCTAATCGAGAGTAGCTGGTCTACGGGGATGTATAGCGGGCAGGGAGGATCGTAAAGCCAATATATATCAGCTACCGTGATAAGACAGACGTAGTCAAGCACGGAAAACATCATGAAATAGAATCGAATGTTGGTTTTTTTTTTGAGTTGCCCTCGAAGCGTTCATTCACATCATTGACTGAATGACTCTGTTGAACTGGAACTCGTTGGTTATTTGTTGCTCGGCTGGATCCTTGACCACAAAAAAGAATTCGGGTCCGTTTAGCGGAGAAACCGAATTACCTTACCGAAGAATATTTTTGAAGGAGTAATATTCCACGAACAGAGTATCCGTGTGTGTGTTTTTTTTGTACAATTAGCGTGTTTTTTTTTGTACAATTTTTAGAAACTGTATAAAAACAGTATCTAAAAATTGTACAAAAAAAACAAGCGGATACTCTGTATAAAGACAGTTTTGCATGTATCTTGCTCAAGGGCGGCAGCGCGCACAAGATGCCAAAGTCCATTGCTGCCCGAACCAGCTGTTCGACAGATTGCATGACTGCATTTCTGACAATACTATATGCTGATGATGCTGGTGCTGATGCTTCTGATGCTGGTGCTTATGCTGGTGCTGATGCTTCTGATGGTGCTGATGCTCGTGCTGATGCTCGTGCTGATGCTTCTGATGCTTCTGATGCTTCTGATGCTTCTGATGCTTCTGATGCTTCTGATGCTTCATGGGAGGAAATACTCGGACCCAAAGCCATCGATGAGTATCCCTGTACTATGCCTGCCATATCGAGCAGCTCCTTGTATGTTATGTGTGCGCAGGCCGGTACTTGCCTTTGCCTATACGACAAATGGCTGTCGGCGTCCCTCTCTTCTAGTACCAGGAATAGAAATCCTAATTCGCAATGGCACATGTCGTGTATGTATATGACGGTTGGTTGCGTCGTCGTGTGGTGTAGTATTATGGAACGGTTGGTTGCGCCATGTAGTGTATGTAGTTATGCTACATATTTTATTAACATATTTAACTTCACTCCTCCTTTCTTTATCTACCCATTTTTTAAGCGCTTCGATCGTTTTTCTCGATGTCGAAACCTGCGCGCTTTCTTCTTCCCGCTGTGGGTTGTCCTTCCATATCGAATTGGTTTTTTTGTTGGTGAAGGCCTTAAACGATTTGTTGTTTGCTTTTTTTATAGGATAAATTGTTTCAATATCGATGCTGGAAAGATTTTTTCTAAGACGAAATAAGTGTCGGGGGTCGTCTTATTTATCAGGTGCCCGATCGGGATTTGATTCGTCGATCAAATATCCCAATTGGGGCACAACGAACCGAGCAGCTATTTGCTTTATATTTTCGTTTCTTTTTCGTTCATTGTAAGTTGGGGTTAATGTTCGTTTATTGACTATTATTTTTTGTTCTTCTTGGTAAATTTCATAAGTGATTTTTTCTTTCTAGATATTCCGGTATCATTGATTTTAATATGGAGCAATTTTCGAGCCTTGTTCTTTCTTTAAAATACTTCTGATGTGTAATTTTTGGGTTCCATTGTGGAGATAGCCCTATTACTATATTAATTTTAGATAGAAGGTTACTCAATAAGTTGAACATTTTGACATAATATTAATTTAAACCGGTGAGTATTCAAATGTCATTAGTCAAATTAGTTAACTTCAGCCGCATCTTAGTAAAAAAGTTAAATCTCTCTCTTTTGTCGAAAGAAAAAAAGAAAAATTTGAGAAGAACTACAAAAATATTTAGTATGCCCAGGTATCATAAAATTAATTTGATACTTTTATAATAACCGCAAATTATTATATATAGGTGAAATCAAATAGTAACATTATTTTTATTCTGACCACCCGTGTTGTCACAAGTAATATTCACCTTTATTCAATCTCTTAATCCCATCAAATACCACGCTTAGTGTGCCGTTAGGGCTTTTGCCAATAATTTTGTCTTCATCGAGAACATAATTAATTTGTTCGCGTACTGCTTCATCTTGAATACCAAATAAATGTATTTTACGCGGACTGAGATAATAAATTTTACTTACCTGTTGATCGGAATGCGGAACGTGAACATTTTGTGCTAAATCGTAACTGTAATGAGCAGCAGCATCAACGCTACAATAATCAGCTTTACCTTTTATTATAAAATGCCTATCTACCAATTTTCTCTGCTGTTTTGCTAATTTTGTATTTTTGTTGTAATAATTTCTTTCTAATTTAGCCTTAAATAAATGTTCTTTGTATTTTTTCAGAAATTTTTTGCTTCTTCTTCCTTGCGAGCATTATACTGTAAGCCGTTCCGAAAATGTTGGCACGAGTCACATAAATCAGTTCTTGGACTCATGATTTGAATATAAGGCGTTAATTGGTGCCATAACTTACGGAACGCATCATATTTTAACAATTCAACGCGCTATCATTTTCGAGACCTGCAATAAAATTGCGATAGACCGATTTGTAACTCGTTTCGGCTGGCAACAGTGTAAGCGATTGAGTAGTTCGATTTACATTTCTACCAGGACTTGGTAATCCATGAATTTCAGCATAATTTTCGAGAAAATTCTTTACGGCGGCTATATCAATGGTTATTTTGGTTTCTAACGTTTTTGAAGTGAGCGCGACCAATTCCTAACATATTGAGATACGTTTTCTGACAAAGCGGCATATTGCGATCTCAATAGTAAAACGTTCGCTTATTAGTACGCGTTTCTTTTTAAGACGTCGGCTGGTAGTTATCTCCCACCATTCATTGCTTTTAGCTGAGCCATTACAAATATATCTTGCTCAGGTCTAGAGAGGGCTTGAAAAGCTTCACGTAATTCGGCAAACCCTTTTCTTGAAATCTTTTTTGAGCAGCCGCAATTGCAACCTATTTCCAAGAAACATATTGCTTTTTCATATTCGCTGTTGGAACTATTAGGTTCATTATTCTTTATATACGGGTAATCCTATATATTAATTTTTATTAGTTTATTATGCTCTTTGTTTCATGTTTTCGCTGTAAAACCAAACTGATGATTGGTTTCACACGAAATGACATGTTGTTTATTCATTACAACAGATTCTTTCTCACTGATAAACTTTTTTTACTCCTCTAAGGTTGTTTTTGCTCTGCTAACTCTTGTTTGAACTTCTGGGTTTCTTTGTTTAAATTTGCGTAGAAAGTCGTCGAGAAATGCGAATTGTATGAAAATACTTATTTTTAACGTAAAATTAATTGACCCTACCCATCACGTTATCATCAGCGACAGACAAAAACGAAGCTATCAGATAGCTATTCATCGTCATCGTCATCGTCATCGTCATCGTCATCGTCATCGTCATCGTCATCGTCTTTGTCTTCGTCGTCGTCTTCGTGCAAAAGTGATTCCCGAATTCGGACTAATATTTTCAATACCGCTCGCCTTCCGGCCGGTTGAGCAAGATCGAGACCGCGCCTAGGAGCATTCTTACCCGGCCATCTTTGAACATCAAGATACTCTTTTTGTGGCACTCCTTTTTCAAGTTCTTTCAAATACGCAGCAGAAATATCGGCCTTATAAAACGTAACATAATGCGAAATTGTGCGAACGGCCCATAACGTCTGATCCCGATATTGATACTTATCACGTATATTCTCATATGCACAAGCGAGAATCTCCGCACAGATTTGGGATTCTCCGAATCCGGTGCTTGGCCTGACGCTTTTCAAATGTTTGTCCTCTGCCACCACTACAAAGATGTTTCTTTTCGTTATCACAAATTCAGGATCTGATGATACATGGGAATCCGCAATGTAGAATTGGCAGAAGGGATGCAGTCTGGATTTTGAAAACGTAATTTTAGAACCATTCTATTTATCTAATTATCAAAACAGGGCTAAACCCAGATACTGACTTGATCCTTAAGGGCCACGTCTGCAGTTCAACGATGTGCAGTAGACTGTTCACAAGCGTATCAGTCAAAGCTCCCTCCGTTCCCACCACCATCATGCCATACATCGCAACATCGTGCAAATTCGCAAAGAATGTGCGAACTTCATTTCTGTCAATATTTTCAACATTGAAGTCTTCGCGTTTAAGTGTTGCAGGTATGATATCGGGACGAACATATTCCTCTGGAATGGCTGTGCCTGGAATTTATTAAGTAATTATTAGATTATGTTTTCTGAGAAGACTACCTGATACAATGTACCTTCAACCGTGGGTATAATATCGCTCTCAGCAGACGCTGGGTTGACTCTCACTCTCAATACGTCAAGGTGGATGTTCTTGAACCCAGAAGTCATACCCGCCAGAGCTGGAGCCGAATACGTTGCTGGTGCTGTACCTGCCATCAGAACTGGAAAAGATTACTGACCGTTGCTGCGAGGACCGAGTCGTCTCTGGCGAGGTGTTTGGATTGTCGTGGAGCGTCCTCGCTTTGTATCGGCATGATGTGACAAGAATTCTGCTGATCCCTACTAATTATAATCATTAATCGTTTGGGTGACATCATCAGTTACAGTCATCCCTCTTTATAGTCACCCCCTCTATAAGCACATAATATAAAACTCTCTTTATAAGCGCACCACGTTTGAGAACCAATTACTATTGAACTTATAGGTTGTTCCTGACAGCGTGACTATAGAGAGGGTTGACTGTATATTATATTAATGTCTTCTCAGTCACACCAGCCATCTGCAAGCATGCCCCAAATAGTATTCGTTTTTTCAATGAAGAAACTATTCTCCAAGAAGAAAGAGATTATTTAGCACAAAAATATGATTTGCTAATAGACAAGTTAAAAGAAATTATTCTATGGCAAATGAAAGAAGAAGCAACTTCCCTAACTTCTTTCCGAGAAAGAAAAAACTGAAAATAGGCTACTGTTATTTTTATAGTATAAGTATATTGACGCAGGTTTTTTCTAGGTCAAGAAGAAGAAAAAGTGAACTTGTGGAGGGAGCAGAGTTTTTGTTCCTATTAAATTATCATTCTACCAAGAAGAAGAAAAAAGGAATAAAGAAAAAATCGAGCAAGATAAAAAAAAATTATTGAAACTCAAGGAAAAATCGAGAATTGGAATTGTCAGAAGGATTTAATCGGGAAGTGAAAAGGAAAGTTCTTCATTGTCGAGGGCAAAATTAGGTTTAGTGAAAGAAGAAAGCCCGCACCAAACTTGGAAAAGCAAAAAGAAAATTTGAAAAATAAATTAAAACCAACGGAGCTCAACTGACAAGCCGTTGCAAACTAAAGTGGGATTGCAGTTCAGCAGAGTTGTTGCATAGTTTATATTGAGTATCAATAAGTTTAGCCCAACAACTTGTTTGAGTCTATATTCTCCCAGTGCTTTTCTTCATATGAGAATGCAAATTTTTGACCTCCACAACAAAGACTGGCTGACATCCGATACTCATGACATATCTCGGAAATGTCAACGCTGTCGATAATTCATTTATGGAAGAGAAAATTCAAAACGGGTGTGAAGGTATCAAAATCACGTACTTCGGATATTGTCTTGAAGGTCCGCTTTTTTGTTGCAAAAGTTAGTAGACCGAGTTAGGACTCTATTTCCAAGCTACGTGAGCAAGTCTACCTAAGTACATGAGGTGTTTGTATATATTCCTATTATAACTTCAGTCAAAGACAGCTTGTAGTCGAGATTTATTATTTACCGTATCAATTTGTCCAATTCAATCTCAACGAAGACTGGATTTCTGTTGGATGACAGCCCGATCGGATTTCTTACTCTGCATCGTTGAGTCGTGTGGTTGAGAGCGGAGGCCAGGGAGATAAAATTGTGAGATCGAGAGCGTGGTTTCTTTGTTTGTAGGAGCTGAACTCCAACAAATTTACTGGATTCGAAATGATTCTGATGTACAATCTTGGCTCATTTGATGGTGAAAAAAACGACGGGTAACGTAAATCACAAATTTGTGAGAATTATAAATCACATAAATATGTTTTTACGATAAACAGAGAGTTGGAGGCCAATAATCTATTTATTGTTAAATTACATCACGCGTAAAATATTTAATGGTACCAGAGCTTGCATTGAGAGAGGGGAAATTATAGTTCTTGCACTTAAGGCCGAGCGCTCTACCAACAGGGAATAATCTCAATGATATCATGTCAAGAATTCTACCAAATCTATGCATTATATCTTGGAGATAAAACAGACGAGCAGCTTATTGAAGATTATGCTATCGATATGAATGCTGTCCAAAGCCTTGATGATTGTATCGGCTTAGTTAAAAAGACACTTGATACTGTTAGAGACAAGGATGATCCACTCTATGGCGCGAAAGGGTGAGTCCTAGTAAAAGTTCTTTTTATTAGCAGATGGATACGATGTTTTCAGTAATGAGTATCTGAATCCCAATAACACTGGACTATGGGATCAGCTTCTAGGCCCACCTCTATCGATGGCTGACTACACTAGTGGTTTCAATGTTACAACATGTGTTTCATGGTATGAAGAACTTTCTAGCCTTACTGAAGAAGATGTGCTTAATACTTTGAGACCAAAAATAATCTCCAACTGATTTACGACTATGATTGTTAAAGCATTATGTATGATTGGTACCAGCATATAAGCAGAAGCTCCTTCCCGAACCGTACGTGATAGTTTCCCCATCAACGGCTTTCACGGTTCTCTGTGGTTGATTGTTCTATGCCAACTATGTTTATATTTTGGCCTCGAGGAATATGTGTGAGATTATTGTGCTTAAACACGTCCGCGTTGGTTAGATTGTTTAAGGGTTGCGTTCAGATTCGGGCACTAGGAAATAGAGAGTATAATTTTGTCCATGATGGTTTTATGCTGTATTTCTCATACAAGCATTGTCTATATTTTTTCCCCAACAACGAATGGAGAGAGTAAGTCGATCATCAAGACTTGTCACGGAGAAGAATAACGCTTAAAGTATATCGCGTTTCGTAAAAGTGTTGTCTTTGGAATGTTACAATGCGCCACAGGAAGGACAGTTCTACGAGAACCAGAAATAGAGTTTGTTATAATTATATGCTGTGAATAAAGTTCGCGATACTTATAATTTCCTGGTCATCGTTTTGTTCGAGATGACAAACATTTGCTGGGTCAGACAGACATGCGTTTTGACTTGTCAAATGAGATGTACATTGTGGGAGGGGAGAGACGATGAAATTGATCGCGGACGTAGGACAAAGAAAAAAACACGTTCATTTCTTCCCTTTTAACTTCGCTCATGTTCTCAGAATTAAGGGGGTGCGTATACAATAATAGTTTATTAAATTAATGTACTAGTACAGAGAAATATATTACTTTTATTACTTTTAAAGTTGAAAGTCAATCAGCATATTGATGTGACTCTAATTTAGATAAACGGCTTTTCTTTTTGAGTTGCCACTAACCGACATCAGGCCCATTAACCAATACATTTACGTCATATAACAATATTAATATGTTTCACTTGATCGGCATAACTATTGATAGGCTGTATAAGAATTAACGCTGTCGCCAATCATCAACTTATCTCCCTCGATAAGTTTTGCATTAACACCGAATTCTTTTACATAAACGACTTTGTATCTTTCTCGATATCTTCCGACACGAATGCTGTAAATTCCAATGATTTTCCCTGCTGTAGCAAACGCTGAGCCAAAAATAATGCCCAATACTTGGTTGCTCTTAAGCTGACCGCTTTGACAGTCCGTTCGCGTGATCTTATAGATGGCGCTAGGTTGTTGAGATCTGTCGAAAACGGAGGCGTCTGTCCGAGAAGATGAGCCTTCATCTGCCAGTGAGCTAGCATATCAACATAACGCCGTAACGGTAATGTGACTTTGGGACCAGCTTCCGTTGTTATTTGTATGCTTCCCATCATAGGTCATATCTTTGCTATTTCCTTTATAGGCAAGACTCTGTCACAGGATCGACGTTCGATAGGATGTTTTCGTATAAAGTTGATCTTGAGTCCTATAAATCATGGGAATATTGCTCGTCCTGCCATTATCATAAGCTCAGCCACCATTGAACGCGCTGAAGAGTGATTGCTACGATCAACTGTTACTTGAATGTCGGGAATACCTGAATAGAAGATTGGTTGTTCTATTATAATGGGATTTGATGGTAATGGACGTGGTGCGGGTGCTAGTGTTACTTCTGCGGAAGGCTTGTGTAGCTGATATTGCATATGTAATTTGCAACCTGTTAGAAGGTCCTTGTGAGTCCAAGCAGAACAGAGCCCTCTAACTTTTTCGTCGAAGCTACTGGGTTCGGATAATAATGACAAATACAGTGTATCAATTTGGTACCCGGTTGTGCCTTATAGTTCATTATATTCCCATTGTCATCTATTCGAACGCCAAAACTCATTATGTCCACCATCTTTTGTTTTGGTCACTAAACTAAATCGCTTCTCATTCAAACTCCCCGGCAACATTCCATGGAAAATAAACCGTCTGGGCACGTGATTTAGCCAAGCGAGCAAGCTTGTGTGTTGGATGAATATATGCCGATGGGTCTGCAACATGAATATGTGCCCATGTACTTACAGAACCCGCACCATTGTCCATAACGCGTTCTATAGATACTCCATCATCGTATACACTGGCAGATTACCAAAATCATGACGGATGTCGCTACAAATATCGCATACGGTTAGGTTCTCCCAAGGTGTCCATTATTCCTTTATACAATTTCAATGGTTTTAGTATTGCCGATGCCGATACATCCAATGATAAATCCTGCCAGCCTTCTTCAACATTTTAATAAATAACCTATCTTCAGCGGTAAATTTTGGTAGTTCGATTGAAGTGTTTATTGTAGGGTCCTTCAGTTTATTTCCTGATTTTTAGCAGCTAAATTATTTTCCAATAAATCTATTCAATCTGGAGTTTTCCCATTGCTGCATCGTGATTTCAACATTGCTTCAGCCATTTGACGTTTTCTCCATTCCATATAGCCTTATTTAAGGCTTTCTCTGTCTCTTCTCATCAAGAGAAAGATGTCTTATGTCATAATAATTATAACAACTTCGTTTGATTGAATCTCACCCTTCATAACCTTTTTCTTTTAGGGTTAAATTATCTTCTATTTTGCCTTCTTTTAACCACTTTTGAAATAATCTTTTACTTTCTTCAGGATAAGGTTAATAAAGATATCTCTTTTAGCCTTATCTCTTACTTGGTAAAGCTTCATGGTTTGCTTATAATAAGGATAATAACAATAATAATATGAATGAATCGGTTCCATGAAAAAGCTTCGTTATAAGGCCATCTTTGTTAAAACGGTCCTTCGTTAAAGCGGACTTTACTGTGTATATGCACACAAACGCATCCATTTAACCATTATTAATAGCGGATTTTTGGTCGATCTATAATAATTTATACAAAGTGGATATTAATATGAGAATACGTGTTATCTTATGAAGCTGAGATACATGAATTCCTTTTTTTTTTTTTCTTTTTTTTTTCACATTTGAACGTCGTTGGTCAACGTAAGTTGATTAGGCATTTTTTTTTATTGCAAAAGCAAACAAAGAACGCGTTGTTGGTTCAAATATTATTTTTATTTATACATTTGTTATCTGATGTAACTTTCTATATATTTTTCATAGTAAACAAAATAGAGAGCATGTAAATCTTACTAAAGTAATTGCATTATTTTCCACCACTGCTGTATACTTAGAACTGAAATATGCAATCGGCGTTGTTATCGAGTCGGTGGCACTGAATCTCTTTGTTATAAACAAACAATACTAGGCGGTGAAAGTACCAAACTTTCTATTGACACAAAATCTTTTCATTCTGTTACGGTCGGTCGGGAATTAAATTGGGGTTTTTGGGAGAGCGATTTATCTTTTCGTGTAGGTGTGTTCGCCGACCGGGGGATGTTACCAGGCTTAGCTCGTA